TGGGATTTGAATCCACCTTCCTGTGCTGTGATCTTGGCCACAGCTTTATTTTCATTATCTGGACAATGGAGATTAATACACTTGATCAGATTCTTTTGAAGATTAAATGCCATAAGTTATGTGAAGTACTTAGCACAGTACCCAGTAAGTATCCAGTGTGGTTAGTTCTCATTAGCCATGATATGTACCGTGTCCCTCAACTAGCAAGAGGCAGAGGACATATTTGAACCCTAGCTCTACCAAGAGTGTGTCATGTCCCTAACTCTGATGCTTATGGACCACCCAGGGGTGGCCTAGAAATGCAGGAAAAATTCTCAGATACTTTGTCCCTTTAGCAAAGTCAAGTATCCTGCTCTCTCCATCCAGACTCTGGGGAGCTTTGGAAGATGGAAGCAAAGAGCCCCCACCACCCATCACTGCAGAACTCAGGAGGATAACACAGAAATTGTTCAGTAGCTTGTCAGCTTAAGCAGGAACCCCATCAACAAACTTTAGATGTTACCATCTCCTCATTAGACTCTAGAACTAATTATTTATTTCCCCAAGGAGGAGGAGGTGTGACACTGGTGCTCTGGGATTCAGTCCAGGATCCACTGGTTCCTTTGCTTGTGACCTCAGGCAAGTCATATCATGTCCACCCAGTATGAGTGTCCTGGTAAGCTCTTAGAGATGGGTGAAACCATTGCTCCCTGTCTTCCTGATCCTTCTGGGACACAAGCCTCTTTGACACCTCTGGGCTGTGCCCAGTGTTTCAGATGAACACAGCCATAACTGCTTCATCTGCAAATTATGCTTTGTTAAGGGATTAACTTTGTCCAGGCGGTCTGTTATAATGTTTTCAGTAGCCAATTCCAATACAAATTTAGGTCCAACAAAAACATGCATTTTTCACCAAGACTAGATGAGTCATTTAAAAGCATATATGAAGTTTTTTGTAAACCCAACTATTGTAATTGGTGGTTGCTAATTTAGAAATATTTTATTTATTTTTTTATTGGCGCTCTATGGTTATCCATAGTTGGATTCATCCCGACAAACTCATACATGCATGAAATAATCCCCTCTTTTCCCTCCCATATCTCTTTCTCCTTCCTCTACTTTACTAGGCTTCCTTTCACTCACTTATTAATTTGAATTTGATTGGTTCTTTATGTAATCTTATCCTTCCCTCTCCGTTTCCTTTATAGAAACAAATATTTTAAATTGGATTCTTGGAAGCGAGGTAGATTCTAAGGACAACTCCATCTCCGGTACTGTGCTCCCTCCTAGGGACATACAAAAGAACTCATTTTGAAGACTAGTATCTTAAAAATATGATTGAATAAATTATTATAAACAACTGGGTGAAGAGGTCAATTCCCCATTTCCTCACCCATCTGCCTCACTCCCAGGTGCCCATGGTGAATGAAATAGAATTGTTGCCAGATTAGTTGGATTCATCTCTGTGGCTTTTGTTCTTGGTGCATGTTTGAGAAGGCAGAGGATCCTGCTTTATCCTTGCCCTTACCCTCTCCTCTATCAGAAAAAGTCAGTTCCCAGCAGCATTCAGTCGCATCTCTCTGGGGCCCTCTCACCCTCGCAGGTCGTCATTTTCCGGCAAAACCACATTGTACCTGAGTATTACTGGGTGGGAGGCTGCAGCATGTGTTGATCTTTCATCTCTGTGATGCTTACCAGACTCTTCTCTCCGGCCTTAGCAACAAACCAGGAGGATGCTTGTGTGGGCCCTGAGTCCATGCCCAGGTGCATTTAATTTCCCAACCGTATGTGTTGTTTCACCAGCAATAAAAATCCAGCAGGGAACTGAATGCTAAAATTAGTTCAGTTGTCCTTTGACAAGATCTCCCCAGTCGAAAACTTTTTGTTTATGTAGCTGGTTGGGCAGTCTTTGCTAAAATCAAAATTAAACTATCTCATTTAGGGATGGGGTTATAGCACAATGGTAAAGTGCTTGCCTAGCATGTGTGAGGTACTGGGTTCGATTATCAGCACTGCATATAAATAAATATAAAATAAAAGTCCATTGACAACTAAAAAAATTTTTATATGTATGTGTGTGTGTGTGTGTGTATTTTTTAAACTGCCTCATTTAATGGTACACAAGATGGCATTTTGAAGAACTTCCACTGTATTCTCCTTGAAAGGATATTTAATATAAAAAGTGCAGCCCTTGTCAAGTTACTGCATTTGAGGGTAGGTGTTTTTTATCTCCTTATTGCTGGTTATGGGGTGGATGCATGTAGCCCACGGCTGTGCACTGAGTCACTAGTCACTACATCTGTTGTAAAGTTGGATGCATAGACAGACAGCTGGATAGATGGAGGGATGGGGATATAGTGGCAGATAAAAGGTTTCATTTGCCTTGCCATGTTTTAGATGTCAAGTTTACTAACATTTAAAAGGAGGAAGAACCTGAAATCAGTGTTCTTGCAGAAAGTTTTAGCTAGATTCTGACCTGTGGCTGTGTCTTCATGCTTCATTCATTTGTTCAACAAAAATGAGATTTAGTAAGTACTTAGAATGAGTGAGACATACAGGATATAGATTTGAACAAAAAAGAATAATTCCTGCCTTCAGGGAGCTTACTGTCCCTTGTGAGAGAAACATTAAAAAGCAATTATGCATGGGAAGATTAGATGAACTTTAGATAGGGCAAAGGGGGAAAGAGGAGGGAGGGGAAGGGAGGGGGCGTGGGGGTAGGAAAGACAGTGGAATGAAATGGACATCATTACCCTAAGTACATGTATGAAGACACGAATGGTGTGACTCTACTTTGTGTACAACCAGAGATATGAAAAATTGTGCTCTGTATGTGCACTATGAATTATAATATATTCTGCTGTCATATATAACCAATTAAAATTTTAAAAATGAAAAAAGCAATTATACAAGTTATGATTTAACTACTGTAATTTTAGTCATTTTTGCCTTTATTGAGATATAATTTATATACCATAAAATTAACCACTTTAAAAAAATCTTTATTAGTGCTTATTAATTATTCAATATGCTAGGTTTTATTTGGAGTATTTCTTTACACATAGAAGCATAATTTTGCTGGGCATTGGTGGCATACACCTGTAATCCCAGCAGCTCAGGATGCTGAGGCAGGAGGATGGCAAGTTCAAAGCCAGTCTCAGCAATTTAGCAAGGTCCTAAGCAACTTAGGAAGACCCTGTCTTAAAATAAAAAATAAAAATGGCTGAGAACGTGGTTCAGTGATTAAGCTCCCCTGGGTTTAATCCGTGGTACCAAAAAAAAAAAAAAAGAAGAAGAAAGAAAAAGAAAAGAAAAAAAGCACAATTTGATAAATTTTAAATTTTACTCCCCAGTACCTCCCCCATCCTTCTCCACCCTCTCTCCCTGATTCCTTTCTTTGTCCTACTGGTCTCCCTTATAAAAATTCATCACTTTTAAATGTGCAAAACAGTCATTTTTAGTATATGCAGAGAGCTTTTATCTTTTTAAGTTGATATAGTTGAGTGAAAAACTCACTGTATTCTGTTGTTTTGTCCACACAACCACAGACACTTTGTTGATTGACTCGTAGTTTTCATCATGCTGGTGTTGCATCATCTGATTGCTAATGTCCTTAAGGAAGGAAGAGAGGCCATCAGGTTGCCCAATTTGGAGATGATCTCTGGGAAGCAGCCCTGATGGAAGTTCCTTAGGCCAGTACTAGGAGCTGCTCATCACAGCAGCTACTCCAGGGAAGGCGTTCTCCTCTGCCCCTCACTTGGCGTAGCTAGTTCTCCACAGCGTCTCACAGTTCTGTTCTTCCAAGAACATATCCCAAGAGGGTCCCCAGTCAGAAGTGAGAGATATTCAGGGATCAGGAACCCTTAGGACCTACCCCATATAAGCTAAGCTGAAATGCCAAAGGCAGGAAAACCTGTATAATTTAGTTCATTTGATTCTGTGTCAAGAAATAATGACTCGGGGGGGCTTTTGCTACATGTTATTGAACTTGAACTATAGTATGGTTGTGTTTTCAGGGATCTTACAAGGTGATCCAATGGGGCTATGCAGCGATAGGGATCTGAATTTGGTTTCTGGCTCTACCCAAATTTTGCTTTGCCTTCTGTTCTGTTCTAACATAACCAATCTCCTTTTGGAGCCTCTGGGGAGGAGCCAGGTAGATATGAGGTACAGCTGCTTTGGACCTGATCCAGTGGCTATGCTCTCAGGGAGTCGTCCGGTTGGTCGACAGTCAGCTATCTATTCAGAAAGTTCCAGGGGTCCTCCTTTCCCGACAACACTGATTTCATCAGAAGACAGATTTGGAGCATCACCAAGAGATCTGGCAAATTGGCACGAGAGTTATTCACATAGTTTTGTGACAACCCTTAAGATATCAGTATCAAAGACCATGACAACCATAGTAATGCCTGCCAGTTATAGGGATTTATACAGATTGCAGAGCACTTTGTATTCCTTACCTCAGTTATCCTCACACACTCCTTGTAAGATTCCCACATGTAACAAGCTATGATATTCCCAAGATCTAGAGAAGTGACTTGCCCATAATGATAAAGGGGGCTCTGCTAGCCCCGCAATCCCCTTTCTTTCCTGCCTGCTTTCCCCACTGCACTGCTCTGGAACAGTTCTGCATACAATTTGCTAATGACTTGTCAGTTCCATTTACATTGCTTAGGTAAAACACCTGCTTGTGTAATTGCTGACATTAAAAAGTATGTCATGGATACATCTGACAGTTAATTTTATTCACTAGTTCCCTTCTGCTTCATAGATTCCTGTGAGTTTGGGTTAATTAAGCTGAGTATTTTTTTTTTCCTCTAGCAAGCTGGTGATCCTCTGGGTTGAATCTGTAGCTGAGTTATCCTTGGGCTATGATTGGTGACAGAGCCTCAGGGAATCCTTAGTTCTTCCCCCATTGGAGCACGCAGGGCTTAGCCACGCAGGGCTTCTGGATATGAATAACAAGTCAGTGCGAATGCTTTTGACCATACACATGTATCATCCTCTTCTCCTTTCAAAAGGTATATGACCGATGGTGGACTTGGCCTCTACACCCGTCGCCTGAACCGGCTCCCTGATGGGATGGCTGTGGTGCGTGAGACCCTGCAACGAAATACCTCCCTGGGCCTTGGAGATGCTGACAGGTAAGCTCGCCCTGCTTGGGGTTGGCCAGATGCAGAGGGGACTCCAAAGTGGCCTGAGAAATGAGGGTCATGATGTTGGGAGAGTGGATTGGGGCCCCTTCGACTGGAAGAGAAGAAAGGAACCAGTACAGCAGGTGGAAAAGGCCTGCTGAGTTCTTGAGCCTGGCTTCTTTGTAGGGTGGTGCTTCTGTCAGGGAGAGCACAGGGAATTCAGGTGTGGGTAGATTTGTTGTTGTTTGGTCTGTTGCTACAGCATCCGTGTCAGTTCAGCTGGCCCTAGGGGACCTGCCTCACTTCCTCTCTCACTAGTGCGCTTTCTAGGTATTGCACCTTGCAATAAACAGCAGGTCCATGTGCAGAAGGGAAGCTTGGCCTCGGCCAATCAGGCTTTATCATGTCTCGGTTGCTTGGTAGTAGGAGGTGAGGCTTAAGAATGTGGGTATACACATTAAACTGCTGAACTCAGTAGTTGGCTTTATAGGGGTCTGTCAGGCTTCATGGCACCACTGTCGGGGATGGGGAGCTTCAGACCACACTAAGTAGAGAAAGAGGATGACTGTGGTCTCCAGGGTTCTCCTCCTTACTCTGACACAAACTGATTCTACGACCTTGAGCAGCCTGTTAAGGGAAGGTGTTGAAGTGTATGATTTCCAAGATCCCTTCCAGCTCCAGTGTCCTGTATTTCTGGATCTCAGTACAGATTTCAAATACTGTTTAGTGATCTGACTGTTGAAGTATTTTCTGGCATACTTGACCTCTTTCTGCTTCTGGGTTGATGAAATGTAACATGGAATTTAGATAGGAATTTTTTGAAATGACTGCGCTTTTAGGTGTTCACCCTCAAGTGTCAGAAATCCAGAAAGTAGCACAAGACAAGTCCCAGCCACTCTCCTAGAAGGACTTGCTTTTGACATAGAGCTGGGTGACTCCTGTGATCCTCTGGCTTCCGAGAAACAGGGTAATACACTAAAGAGACAGACACTAAAATCACGCCCAGAAATGGAATTTGCTGCAGAGGAATCTTCACATTCTCTAGGGGAAGGCCAGAAAGCTTGGGCTAGGGCAGAGAGCCCTGGATTAGTGGTCAGGAACTTGGGCTTCGGCCCACTCTCTACCACTGAATTGAAATGTCCTCCATAGAATCCCCCAGTATCCAGGGTGCTCATTTATATTTATATCAGGAATAACAGAAGCTCTCCACCAGATTTCTGGCTCAAGTCAGCTTTTTTTTTCACCCCCTGTAATTAATAAAAAAGTATTGGTTGGAAAATTTGGGAGAAACGTGAACCATTTGAAAATTGCTCCTTTTGTTTCTTAAACTCTCTGTAACTAAAATCTTTCTATTAAATATTATCGGGGGCGGGGTGAGGCGAACACATCAGGTGCTGCAGCACCCCCACTGGAGAGTTCACAACTTGCCAAATTATTTCACTTATTTGTGTTCTCCTGTGATCATGTAGTTTGTTAGTAAATCTATTAGCACAACTGCAGGCCTTACAAGGTACGTTTCCCCTTGTAGCAAGAGAAGAATGTGGGTTCGGCAGTTTAATTTAATGCTTCATTGCAGGGTTAATGGAATTATTATGGATCACAGCCAAGCTTTTTTCTACTTCTGATGATGGAGAATTGGGGGTGGGGTTGGAAAGATGGATAGCATTTGTTATGTTGTTTTAGTTTAGCCTGCATGATTAAACCAACAACAGTGTATTCTAGTCCTTCACAGATGAATGCTGAGGTGCGATCACACAAAACTGAATGGATAACCCGTTAAATATTAAATAAAGAACTCAAGTGGCTTTAAAAAAAAAATAGGACTTAAGTTTAGTGCGGTGATACACACCTTTAATCCCAGCTTCTCAGGAGGCTGAGGCAGGAGAATTACAAATTCAAGGCCAGCCTAGGCAACTTAGGGAGACCCTGTCTCAAAATAAAAAGTAAAAAGGCCTATATCTTTTTAGAGAACATATTTCCATTTACCAGGACAAGAATAGTATTACCCAAATTACAACATTTGGGGAACTATTTCAAGGGTACAGTACTTCTGGGTTCAATCCTCAGTACTACCAAAGAAAAAAGGATTTAGTAATGATTATAAATTTCTTACTATATCATATAATTTCTGGCTTTCAGGAAGGGAGATATTTTATATTATTCTAGAATGTGCTGAATTTTTAATCACCAGTTACTGTGAACAGACCATTGTGATGCTTCATCTGTGGCTAAGCTGAAATAGTAGTGGATTTGCCTATATAAAGTTATCCATGTAAATCTCTATGTCTGTATTCCAGAGAAGTGTTTCACAAGGTTGGGGAGGCTAATGTCAGTAATACAGGAAATCATATTAGGTGGTAGATAGGGAAATTTTCCTAATATTTATATTTTAATTTTTATATTTTAAATACTATCACATCAAACCATGATTTCACACATATTGCTTAAGGTAAGAATAATGTACAGGACTGGGATTGCAGCTAAGTGGTAGAGCACTTGCCTAGCATGTGTGAGATGCTGGGTTCGATCCTCAGCACCACATACAAACAAAGATGTTGTGTCCGCCGAAAACTAAAAAATAAATATTAAAATTCTCTCTCTCTCTCTCTCTCTCTCTCTCTCTTTAAAAAAAAAAGTTAAAAAAATTAAAAAATAATGTAGGCATGAGACAACAACTCACTATGAAATATCAAGGAAAAATATCACAGATGGTGACTGTGCAAATGTTTCCAACTTAGTAATGCTGTTCTTGCCCTGTTCTATAATTGGAAATATGTTCTCCAACAATTTAAATTAGACAAGTGACCAGAATTCTTCCTTTTTAACCTCTAGGAGGTTATATATAGAAAGGAACTCCAGTCTTTATGGATTTACACATAAGCAATAGGCCACATCATGTGTTCTCTAAAGGAAATAGGAAACGTTCTGACAGATTAGACCTGACCATATTTCAGCAAAGGGAAGACGAGCATGAGAAAGGCAGATCACCCTATGGATGAGAAGACCGCTGACCTCGGCAGTGGCTCAGGAGGACAGCAGCTATTCCCTAAGACTTTAAAGGACCATGACCTCCCAGAAAGACCTTAGCTATTTGCAACAGAATGTAGCTGCTGTGTCTTTAGGGTTATTAAAAGCAACTGATAAGAATGTGTACCTTTGGAGTCTAAAAGATAGAGACCATGTCAGTTTGTATCTTGTATGTCACCAGCTGGCTTTTGAGAAATTATAAATTAAGATAGTAAACTTGGAGTGCCAATTCTCCCCTTGATCTCCTCTCACTCTCCAGTTCTTTCCTGATATTGATCAGTGGCTACTTCCAGCCAACTAGAGCCAGTGGGCTGAGATGGGAGGATCAAAAGGGATGAATCAAGGTGGCTTATTGCATGTCACAAGCCCCAGATAGCAGACAAGTGAAAGGTACTTTCAGAGGAAGAAGAAATGGGGCAAGCGGGGTAGAGAGACTGGGTTAATGGAGAGCGGGATGGTTGGTTGAACTTCCGCTAGTTCCTACACACCCTGCTGTCCCCTCAGAAGCTCTGGAACTCCAGGAGTTGGGGTGCTTTGACAGCTGAAAGCTCAGCTCTAGGGAGGTTTCCACTTGTGTGTCCCTTTCTTGGTCCCTCCAGAGCATCACTGTGCTTGGCAGCCTTCACCCACCTGCGCATTAGTGAGCGATGGGTGAAAGCATTTAAATCCCCCTCCTGAGTGGCACCCCAAGGTAACACACATGTCATCAGGAGCACCAGGAGAGCATAAGTCAGGCTCCCTCCATGTGTACCTTAGATCAGGAGGACTGGAATTCATTGGTCACCTTCTTCCAAGCTATCAGAACACTGATGTTAACTCCAATGACTGATTATTTGGGATACCAAAGCCATATTACTTCACAACTTCTGAACGCAAAATCAAAGGTTTGTGGTGAAATGTTGTCCTGAGACTGTAACAAAATGAAAATCGCCCTCCAACATTGTGCCAGGAAACTGAGCAAAAGAGACAGCATTATTTTCCCCTTCATATTTCAAGTGTTTCCTGACCCTCTGATTATGAATATTTGAGGCACTGAGATTGCTCTTGCCATTACGGATCCGTAGTCTCCTCAGCCTACCTTTGGGCCCGGGCCTTGGCGCTCAGAGCTGTCCCAATTTCGGCTTGAATTGGGAGATCCACTCTCGGGCGAGTCCCACAGTATGAGGATGTAACTATGTGACTTGGTATTCAAGTAGTCTGCCAAACTGAGCCCTCTCTCCTCACCCAGAGTGTCACAAGAACTCCAAGAGCCCAGGCACTGCTTGCCTTTATAATTTGTATGGAACAAAGTGGTCCAGCTGATGCCAAACTGTGCATTCACAGATTCCAGCCAACCCAGAGGGAAGAGTTTAATCGAGGCCAGAGGACCCCAGTTAGCAGGCAGAAGTAGTGGGGACACTGGATGGAGGGACAGGTCTCCAAGCCAGTTATTTCTTAGGCATAGTCCCTTCTGAGATCCATAGAAGAAGAGGAGCAAAAATGGGAAGAGATTCTTCCTTTGCCCTCAATTCCAAACCTGTGATGGGCATAATAATCACCCCCAAATGTCTACGTCTCTGAATCTCCAGAACCTGTGGATAGGTTGTTACCCGGCAGGGGGTAGGAAAGGTTGCTTATTGACTAACAGAGAGATTGCTCTGGGTCAAATGGGCTCCGTGTGGTTACAAGATGCTTGAAAGTACAAAAGGAAGACAGAAGAGGAAGCTAGAGCAATGCCATGTGGCAGGGAGGTGACCTGCCATTGCCAGCCTTGGAGATGAGGAGGAAGACCACTGCCATAGGATGCAGGTGCCTCTGGAAGAGGGAAAGGCAGAGAGCAGATGCTCCCCTGGGACCTCCAGAAATGAACAGAGCCTGCTGACACCATGACTCTAGAAACATGAAGTTATAGATTTGTAAGGTAGCGTTTTTAGCCACTCTGTTTATAGTAGTTTGCTACAACAGCAATAAAAAAAAAAAATCAGTTGAAAACTTTATCAGAA